TTTCCAGCATGTTTCCATACATGGATTTGAAAAATGAGTTCAGAAAAGCTGTAGGGAGATGACAACTTTTGGGGGTAGTACGCCCTCTTTCAACTGTTACACATTATTCCTTGAATTTTCATTTTGTTACGGCGGTTTAACCCTCTTTCTACCTGTTTAGGCAGTTGGTGTTGATTCTTTGATGATCTAATGAACATGATTGTTAAGGGGAAATCTCTCATTTACCCATGATTTATATGAAAAATGAAAAAAAATAGAGAAAAATAAGCCAACTAGGATAATGGTAATGAAATTAGAAACTAAAAGCTGTTATAACTTTGTCTATATAACAATGGGAAAAGTACAAAAAAAATCTTAAACTTGGTACATTGGTGTGAATCCAGTTCCTAAACCTCTAAATTAGATCTATTTAGTTTTAAACATTTTGCATTTGTGTCAATTGAATCAATCCGGCCAATTTTGACTGAAAATTGTGGACATGGATCCAGCCGTCATTATATAGCGCGGCTCGCACTAACGTGGACAATTCCTCTTAACTTCTCTTTCTCTTTCTTTTTTTTTTTTGGTGGGGGGCCGGGCTTGAAAGCCAATGATCCTCATCGGCATTGGGCAAGGGCCACCACGCCCTCACTGGCCATTGGGCAAGGGCTCATGATACCCTCGCTAGATCTGGGCCAAATGAGGACGCTGCGGCCCTTGTTGGCCCTGGGTAAAGTGAGGCCACGATGCCCAGATTAGGCGAGGGCTGATGATGGTTGGTCGGCGACTCTTGTTGGCTCTCAGCGAAAAATAATAATATGGAGAAGAAAAGAAAAGAAAAGAAAATCATAAAAATTATTAAAAATTCAAAATATTACTAAAAAATGTTCACGTTAATGCTACGTAGGACAGCTGGCGTCCACGTCAGCGATTTTCGGTTAAAATTAGCCGGATAGACTCAATTGACACAAACGCGAAAGGCTTAGGACTAAATTTGTCTAATTGAAATTTTAATGACTGAACTGGCACCGATATGGTAGGTTTATGTCTTTTTTTGATACTTTTCCCATATACCAATAGAACTAACGAGATATTTTATGAAAAAGAGATACAATTAAGTGAAAAGGAAATATGCCTCAATATCAAAAAAGTCAAATAACAAAAACTTGATTCTTTACTTATTTGTAAATAGTTGGTAACGCAAAAAAAGAAAAAACTATTGATCAAGACAACATATTTAGAGAATTACCTTAAATTTCGGTTATTCATCTCCGTTTAGGCTTTGAGAACATCATTTTCTTTTGTAATCAATTCTCACATATTCTGTTTATCAATAATCTTTTAAATTAATTAACTATTTAAGTATACATAATGATTAGTCAATTTTTGTCATTTGACCTTTTTATTATCAACGCCTTTCTACCTTTTTAGGCAGTTGGTGTTGATTCTTTTTCTTAACATATTTTATTTATTTTATTAAAGCGGCTATACTTATGGACTTTTAACAAATTTTGATTGTTCAATATGATCATTGATACTTTTTTCTCATTAAAATTATTATAATTGATTTAGTTTTCTCCCATTATCCGTAATTTTATATTTTATAACATATCTAAGAACAAATCTTATTACATGCCAAGGGTTCGTAGGGCGTAGGGTGCAAAATACTATTGGATTAATCTTGCCAACATATATTGTGTAACTTTTGTTTTGCATTTGATCACGTCATCGGTTCTCACGCAGATTCCCGAGCAAAATAACTTGCTCCTAGCTATGGTGACAATATGAGTAAATTGAAACTTTTTTGTAGAAATAATTTGGGTTATTACCACGAAAAACCCTAAATTGGTACACTTGTGATAAATTTACGTCAAACTAATTTTTTGACTACCAAAAACCTTAAACTAGTACACCTATGATAAATTTATACTCCGTTAGTTTCCGTTAAAATTTACTGTCAAATTGTTTAATTAAATGACACATGACAGTTGACGACTGTACCAATGTTTTACCCTCCGTTTGTCCCAAGTGTACAAGTTTATGGTATTTTTGCATTAATTCAATTTAATGGAGGGTAAATTTGTCACAAATGTACTATTTTGGAGTTTTTGGTGGTCAAAAAATTAATTTTGAGTAAATTTGTCACAAGTGTACCGGTTTGGGGTTTTTCGTGATATTAACCCAAATAATTTTGATCATACACGTATATTATGCTTGAAGAATCAATACTCTAGTGAAAATGCAGAATTAATTTAGCAATGACAGATTGAAAGTTTTTGCAGTGAACAAGATAATATGTCGGCCAAATAATCTTTCTTCACCAATGACACTAGAAAAAATCAACCTTGGTTGGAAAATGAACGGGCCTCGATGGCAGCCTTGTAGTGAGTGCCCAACAACTGTTTGAAACAATTCCGGAGAGGCATGTAACTGGCGACCGGAACGCCGTTCTGGATTGACAGCTTTGGCCCCTTTGTGCCCCTGCCGTCGGTGAAACAAGCGTTGAGGTGGTTGATGTGGGCTCGAGTGCATCTGACGGGGAGCAGGCTCGGAATGGCAGGGATCGAGTGAGGGGAGAAGACGACGTTCCAGTCCTCGATATGTCTCGAAAGATTTCCAATAGTCAAATTCCGAAAGATGTAAAGAAAAAGGTAAGAGACAAAATACAGAAACGAAACACGGACGCCCCAAGACGTTTGTAAATGTTCTCTTTTGGACTTTTTCCCGAGCGCCCGAAAGAGTTCAAATCGATCTTAGACATCATTAAACTAGAGCAAGATAATGGATGATTGACAAAGGCCTCGTTGGTCCAACCCCTTAGGATTTCGTTTGTCTCCCGAAAATTGAATAATTTAGAAAATATTCCCATAAAAACGATGGCTTGCACTCCTTGAAATAACTAGTTAATGAAAAATATTTTCATTATCAAACTTTGCCGTGAATCGGGAAAAATATTTCTCATCCATTTATTTTTGTCAGCGATCGTTCTTAAGCAAGATGTTTTGAGGAAAATATTTTGTGAATCACTCATTTTTTGCGAAACAAGGAGAGCCTAAAAGCACCCACGTGCGGGCAACAGGCCGTGTCGACCTGAACACGACGTGGCCTGGCAAGCCTAAGCTCACGCCGTGTTGCGCGCAAAAAAGAAAAGAAAAGAAAAAGAAGGGGTCGAGCCTAGCATGGTCCCTTTGCTTCCAAGCCCAAACCTCATGAACTTAACCAAGGCGCTACCATGGGAGAGATGGTTATCTCCGAGGAAACTCCTAAAGCGATTGCAGCGCCGGCTTCACGGCGAAGAACATCCTGTGCTTGGAATTTCATTGGAAGTCCTAAAACTTGTCGCGACAGTGCAATTGAGTTCTCCCGTGCATATATCCCTAAAAAAAAATAGCGCTGAATAAGAAATGGCATATCTGGGATGCAAAAAAACTATTGTCCTAACAACAAAACTGCCGCTGATAACATCAAACTGCTTGTCCTTGCACGTAATATGATCATCTTGAATTATTCTCATATGAAAATCATTCAGCTTTATTAAGCCGTGCAGATTGCTGCTGCATAGTCACTGATGCCATAATTAGCACGATGGCCACTAGTTTATCAGTAAGAGAAGAGTCAATCAATTGCATTGGGGCGGAATATGGAATGCGATTCACACGCAAAAGCCAAGTGGGTGGGAAAGCTTTTGATGTCTGTTAAATACTGCAGTTCAGTTCACACCCAAAAGCAAGTGGTTTCTATTGAAGACAGAGGAGATTGTGCAAAAGCGTGTCAACATAATCGCCTGTTCGGCATGCAAAGATCACTGCCATGTCCATAAGCATTTCCATTTAGTTCTCGTTTTGGTGTTCGCAAGCTGTTTAATGAGCTTTACAAAATCGTGCACGTATCTCTAAACTAGGCTTGCTTGTGCGCGTTAATATCATCTATTTTCATAATGAATGCGGTGTGTGATTGTTGATGCCCGGGAGGAACTGTGAAGATAGAATTACTTGCACACAGCAAAACATTCCACAAAATTACTGCAGTTCACACCCAAAAAGCAATTGGTTTCTATTAAAAATCACCGCCTTGTTCATCAGTATTTCCATTTAGTTCTCGTTCTGGTATTCGCGGGCTGTTTAATGAGCTTTGCAAAGTCATGCACATATCTCTAAACTGGGCTTGCTTGTGCACGTTAATCTAATTTATTTTAGTAATGAACGCGGTGTGTGATTGTTGATGCCTGTGAGGAACTGTGAAGATATAATTACATGCACATAGCCAAAACTTTCCAAAAAATTACTGCAGTTCACACCTAAAAAGCGATTGGTTTCTATTAAAAATCATGGCCATATTGATCAGCATTCCATTTAGTTATGGTTCTGGTGTTTGTAGGCTGTTTAATGAGCTTTCATATCTCTAAACTGGGCTTGCTTGTGCGTGTTAATCTCATCTATTTCAGCAATGAAGGCGGTGTGCGATTGTTGATGCCCGTGATAACTGTGAAGATAGAATTACTTGCACATAGCGAAATCATCCAAAAAATACTGTAGTTCACACCCAAAAGGCAATTTGTTTCTATTAAAAATCACTGCCATGTTCCTCGGCATTTTCATTTAATTCTCATTCTGGTGTTCGCAGGCTGTTTAATGAGTTTGTAGAGTCATACACATATCTCTAAACTGGGCTTGCTTGTGCGCGTTAATCTAGTCTTGCGTCAATGCTCATGAGGAATTGTGAAGATAAAATTACTTGCACATAGCGAAACCCTCCCAAAAATACTGCAGTTCACACCCAAAAAGTAAGTGGTTTCTATTGAAGATCACTGCCATTTTTATCAGCATTTCCATTTAGTTCTCGTTTTGGTGTTTGCAAGCTGTTTTGATGAGCTTTGCAAAGTCATACACATACCTCTAAAATGGGCTTGCTTGTGCGCGTTAATCTCGTCTATTTTAGTAATGAACAAGGTGTGTGATTGTTGATGATAGTAAGGAACTTGTAACTCCTTCGGTCATCATCTCCTGTCACCGTTTTCATGTCGTTCCTCTATATAAACAACACTCGACTCCTCCAAATTCCCCACATCCTTCATACCATCACGTTGCATTGAGTTCGAGCTGTCCAATACGAAATGGGGTTCAAGAAACTCTTCTTCTTAGTTGCCTTGGCGCTCGTGTCAATCCTCGGGATCGCCGAGAGCTTTGACTTCCACGAGAGGGACCTGGCGTCAGAGGACAGCCTGTGGGACCTGTATGAGCGGTGGCAGAGCCACCACGGGGTGTCCCGGAGCCCCGATGACAAGCACAACCGGTTCAACGTGTTCAAGCAGAAGGTCATGCACGTCCACCGGGTGAACCAGCAGGACAAGCCCTACAAGTTGAAGCTCAACAAGTTCGCTGACATGACCAACCACGAGTTGAGGAGCTCGTGTGCTGGGGCGGACGATGACCACCACAGGATGTTCCATGGGGCGCAACGCGGCTCCACGAGCTTCATGTACGAGGACGACACTCTGGTGCCCCCGTCTATTGACTGGAGGGAGAAGGGCGCGGTCACCGATGTCATGCACCAACGCGGCTGCGGTATGTATACGATTCACTGCAGAATTTTCTAAGACTATTTCACATCTCTTATTTTAATGAGGTCTTGAGTCGCTATGCATCCTAAGATTCTTCACCAAACCCGATCATTAAATTTCACATATGTCTCATTTCAGTTTCATTAAATTTCGATTGCTTGCAGCTGAATTTCATGGTGTTGTTTTTTATGGAACAGGTTGTTGCTGGGCATTCTCGGCCGTGGCAGCGGTCGAGGGAATCAATTACTTGAGGACGAACAAGCTCCTCTCTCTTTCCAAGCAAGAGCTGGTGGACTGCGCGTCCCCACCAAACAAAGGGTGCGAGAGCGGGCACAAGGAATATGCATTCGAGTTCATCAAGGAAAAGGGCATCACGTCCGAGTCGAATTACCCGTACCAAGCTATCCATGGGACCTGTGACGTCGCCAAGGTTAATTAACCACAATCTTAGCTCAACTCTATATCCTATGAAATGTTGTCATTAATCTATAAATTTCCCTTTGAAAACGCAGGTGAATTCTCCTGTTGTGTCGATCGACGGATACCAATATGTGCCATTTAACAATGAGGATGCGCTGCTGAAGGCGGTTGCAAATCAGCCCGTTTCTGTGACCATCGATGCCAGCGGTGTTGATTTCCAATTATACTCAGAGGTAAAATTTACTCGATATAAATCTGACTGGAGATAATTACGAGTAATTAGCAGACTTCTCGTCCTTGCTTCCATTTAAAAAGCTACTGAATATGTTCATTGGAACCGTTCTTATCGGCGAAACTATCAGGGCATATTCACTGGACAGTGTGGCACGAGGCCAATTCATGAAGTCGCGATCATCGGCTATGGGAGCACTCTCCAGGGGACCAAGTACTGGATTGTGAAGAACTCGTGGGGTCCGGATTGGGGCGAGAAGGGCTACATAAGGATGCAGCGTGGCATCGCTGCTAAGGAAGGGCTCTGTGGCATAGCCATGCGGGCCTCATACCCCGTCAAGAACTCGAATAATCCTGGTGGAGTTTATTCCTATTAAGGATGAACTCTAAGCACTGACTCAAGATTGACTAGTGATAAAGAGTGTCTTGGCTTTCATTTGTTTCCTCTGTTTGAAGTGGGCATGTCCCGTCACATAGACACAAATAATGTCTGCTCCCAATGATTCCTTTATGCGTGTTCATAGGGTCTCATAGGCAGCGAGATAAGTTGGTCTTTCCTAGAATTTTATTTTAATGATGCGAGATCTACAATGATTCAATTCCTCTGTCCTAGCACATCTGCATGATGCACCTTCATCTGTATTGATGGAGAAACAATCCCAATACGCAAGTGACAACTACAGCAATCGTCCAATCAGATCTGCATCTGAAGTTCTATGCCTCATAGCATATAAATGACAACTAACGCAATCGTCCAATTAGATCTGCATCTGAAGTTCTATGCCCGATAGCTTATAAATGAGGTTGTGCTGAGTTCTTGAGCTTCAAGTCTCCAACAGATAAGCTTCCATAAGCTGATGATTCACTTCAAAAACCCATCTTATCTACGTAGCGCACAAGCAGGCCAAGTACACTTCCATTAGAAATTAGGTCCCCAGCAAAAAGGCCTATTAAGCAAGCCCATGATAACCCTGTACGTAACCCAGCACGATCCCTACTCCGGGTACTTCCCTTCGATCCATCCGCAGCAAATGAGGGTCCGTCAAATACGAGCAATGATAGGACGACTCTATCGAAACAATCACTACATCAACAATTATGACATGATCAACGGACTTGCTTGTGCGCGTTAATCACATCTATTTTAGTAATGAACGCAGTGTGTGATTATTGATGTCCATGAGGAACTGTGAAAATACAATTACTTGTACATAACAAAACCCTCCAAAAGATTACTGCAATTCACAACCTAAAACAAAGTGGTCTTTATTAAAAATCACTACCTTGTTTATCAGCATTTCCATTTAGTTCTTGTTCTCGTGTTCGCAAGCTATTTAATGAGCTTTACAAAGTCATGCACATATCTCTAAACCGGGCTTACTTGTGCGCATTAATCTCATCTATTTTAGTAATGAGCGTGATGTGTGATTGTTGATGCCCGTGAGGAACTGTGAAGATATAATTACTTGCATGTAGCCAAAACTTTCCAAAAAATTACTGCAGTTCACACCCAAAAAGCAAGTAGTTTCTATTGAAGATGATTGCCATTTTTATCAGCATTTCCATTTAGTTCTCGTTCGGATGTTTGCAGGCTGTTTAATGAGCTTTGCAAAGTCATGTACACTTCTCTAAACTGGGCTTGCTCGTGTGCGTTAATCTCATCTAAATTAGTAATGAACGCGGTGTGTGATTGTTGATGCCCGTAAGGAACTTGTGGCTTCTTCGGTCATCATCTCCTGTCATCGTTTTCGTGTCGTTCCTCTATATAAACAGCACTCGACTCCTCCAAATTCCCCACATCCTTCATACCATCACGTTGCATTGAGTTCGAGCTGTCCAATACGAAATGGGGTTCAAGAAACTCTTCTTCTTAGTTGCCTTGGCGCTCGTGTCAATCCTCGGGATCGCCGAGAGCTTTGACTTCCACGAGAGGGACCTGGCGTCAGAGGACAGCCTGTGGGACCTGTATGAGCGGCGGCAGAGCCACCAACAACATTGACAAGCACAACCGGTTCAACGTGTTCAAGCAGAAGGTCATGCACGTCCACCTGGTGAACCAGCAGGACAAGCCCTACAAGCTGAAGCTCAACAAGTTCGCTGACATGACCAACCATGAGTTGAGGAGCTCGTGTGCTGGGGCGGACGATGACCACCACAGGATGTTCCATGGGGCGTAACGCGGCTCCTCGAGCTTCATGTACGAGGATGACACTTTGGTGCCCCCGTCCATTGACTGGAGGGAGAAGGGCGCGGTCACCGATGTCATGGACCAAGGCCAGTATGTATACGATTCGCGGCAGAATTTGCCAAGACTATTTCACTAAATTGGCATGTGTACAATTGGTTTAGAACTAATTGGGTAATTTTTCCTCAATTTTATCTAGGCAAGAAAGAAATCTACTTTCTAAATATTGACAAAAAATGTAACGTAGAATAACTCTGTGCATCTTATCATCCTATCATTTATACTATCATCATGAAATAAATTGGACCTATCTCAATCATTAATTTCCCAAATGAATTAAAATGTTAATTTACCTTCCACGAATTTCGGTTTTTAATGATTGGATCTTTTCTATCCTAAATGAAATAACCATACCAAAAATTTCAAATTTTTAAATATTTTGTCTTCCAACAAATATGTGTACACGTTTTAGCTTTGTATGCTCTATCAACTATATCTTTCTATCATTTGATGTTCTAATATTTCATAATAAGTTGATTTCACTTAATCATGTAGCAATGCAATAATAGGATTGAAATCTGATCACATCACTTGACGTGCAACTATTATTGTAGCTTTGACAATACTCTTCTCTCATATGTTGCTTTTGTTGTTCATATCTCGAACTGACAAAACATGTAAAAAGCATCTTGACTTATTTCGATTTCTAAAAACAGTATGTATATGTTCTGAAAAAATTGGAATGTGTAATATTATTGGAGCTTTCACAACACCTGTGTCACGTAGTCTCGTCCAATATATTCTCCATCCATCGTCTTGTTTATGATTTTGTCACACCCCGAAATCTACCAGGATAGGGGATGATACGGCCGTCCTTCCACCTGAAGGACGCAGCCTCAAAGCACCCAAAAGTCTCAATGACATCGCTCTCGCTCTATTGGCTGCTAAACAAAAAACCTGAAAGATTGGGGAAAGAGGGGGGTGAGCAACGACAGCTCAGTAAGCAGTGCATATCTCTTCTAAGCAGATCGAGCAACCACTATGCATGTATACATAAAGCCATACCAGAAACTCGTACTTCAATCCAAAGATATAATATATATGTCAATCAAATACGAGTTATTTTATTTCATCAAAACTTTATACAAGTCCCAAATACACGTTTAAATCCATCATCACAATTCAAACTATCAATGGTCAAGTCCATTGATCAATCTCTATAAAAACCACATCAATGGTCCATTCCATTGACTAATCTCAAATCACACATCAATGGTCTATTCCATTAATGAATCTCATCAAAAGCACATGCCGATGGTCCATTCCATTGGCTAATCTCATATCACATCACACATCAATGGTCCATTCCATCGACCAATCTATTGCTCAATATCTAACCATGGTCACGACACAAAGCCTTGTGACAAGGCTACCAAGATTCCCCCTTGGCAAGGTCTCCACCTACAAAGCCGGTGGCTCGGCCCAGAAGGATATCCTAAACTCGGTATGCATACCCCCAAAGCCCCTCAATGGGCTCACAGCGATATTGAGCATCAAACAATCATCATCCAATATCAGAAATCCAATCCCGAATACATTTCACAAACCAAATAAATAACTTTCTCGCAACACGGCTCATCTGCCGAAAATACATTTTGTAAATCATTTCTTAAATCATTTCCGAGCTCATTTCATAAACTAGTTCGTAATGCAATACACATATGTATCCTTTCACAATACAATTCCAAAACGATTCTCAAATACTAAAAAGTAGTAAATGCCCGATCCATACTTTTATGCAACAAATATGTTCTTTCACAACTCGTACGATTACTCAAATTCTTATCACTTTCAAAATATGAGTTTATAAACTCAAAGAAGAGATAACACTACTCACCTGGAATCCCCAAAAATCACACAACGACGCTCACTCGAACCGACGATCTCGTAACCCTAACAATTAAACGATAATCGATGTCAAAACCAAGTAAAATACTACGATAATTACGAAACGGCTAAATGACGCTCAAATGCTAACAAGACAACTCAAAGACGCCCACAAATTGCTCATCCAAAGCTATTATCCAAATCGTCCGCAATGCGGAACTTGAGCGCAAAACTTGATCGCGTCATAACTTTCTCCATCGAACTCCGATCCTAGCAAACTTATAGTCAAAAGAAAGCCCGTTCCAAGTATTACAAAAGCCCCAACTTGGCCGTCCCAAAATCGAGCCAAAAACCGACGAAAATCGGCCTAAAGCCCGCTGGTCGCGCACTGTTCACCTTGCGCGGCTAACTTAAAAAATTCATATCCGGTAAACCGTAAGTCCAAATCAGGTTCCGCAAAATCCCACGGCTCCATAGCACCCTAAACTATCAATTCTATATATATACGCAGCTCAACAACTCAAAAATCGGACTTCGCAGCTCTAATTTCCCAAAATACCGAATTTAAACCCTAAATCGGAAAACTTTTCCGATCGGACGAGCGATGGGCGCAAGTACGTACCGGGCGTTGCTAATCGAAGTTGAATCGGCTTGGCGAGGTCCCACGGCGCAAAACCCTCTCTTCTTCTTCTTCTTCCTTCTCTTTTCCTCTCTCTTTCTTTTCTTCTTTCTCGGTTTTCAACCGAGTGAGCTCTCGGTCTTCTCTCTCTCTTTGCCTTGCTTTTCCTTTTATAAAGCAATTCCCACTTTCTTTCTTTTCTTTGACTTTTCAACCCCTTTTTCTTTTTCTTTTTCTTTTTTTTTTAATCCATATTTTACAGATTTTGAGCCTCCAACTTACTCCTCCAAGGAAAACTGGTACAAGGTCTTTGTTTCTGTGCAACAACACTTGACAGACAAAATCATAACATCATCAAACGTTCGATGCTTATTTACTCGTGCTCACATTGTATACGCAGGCTGCTGGGGCGAGACAGCAGGTGAATTCATGTGTCAAAAAGCAGACTAAAGGCCTCATCGAGGAGCTCGTCCCTCCCTGTTCGATCGACAGCGACACTCTGCTTGTTCTTTGCGAACCGCTCTCTATATTTTCCTCCTCAATGGTGGCTCCATTAAAGTCCCCTCCATGACTATCAACCACAGGCGACCTTTTATCGTCCCCAACAGTTTCAAAGTCTTGTGTCTTCCTTATAAGAGAGTGAGTAGCATTGAGGATAGGCGCGATTTCTCAATGTAAATGTTCTGTCTCTGGTGGAGAGGCTTAGCTCGAAACGCGAGTCTTTATATGCTATCTCCCACTCTGGTCATTCGACGTGCGCAATTTCAGAATCAAAGCGTAAAATATCCTTAGGGTCAAAGCCTCGGGGGCTCTGCAGGAGCTGGGATTGGAATTGCCCTTCGACCGCAAAGAAGGGGGCTCAATGGAGATGGTAAAGCCAGTGGAGGAGCGGAATCTCTTTGTCTTGCATAT